TACGACGACCAACATTTCTGCAAGGAATTCAGGGTGAGAGACTGGAAGGTAGCAGCCATGGATACGTGTGCCTGTCCGCAGATGGCAGATGATTCCTTGGATTATGTAAGTGCGTGGCTGTGCCCCTCTCGTTTCCTCGTCCTCCTCCTCCTCCTCCTCCTCCTCCTCCTCCTCCTCCTCCTCCCCCTCCCCCTCCTCCTCCTCCTCCTCCTCCTCTTCCTCCTCCTCCTCCTCCTCCTCCTCCTCCTCCTCCTCCTCATCGTCCTCCTCCTCGTCCTCCTCATCCTCCTCCTCCTCCTCGTCCTCATCCTCTTCCTCCTCCTCCTACTCCTCACTCGCTCCCGCCGTGTCCAAGCACGCATGCGTTGCGTTGTCATCGTGCAGCAGACAGAGGTGCCCCCGCCAGGTGGCGCAGAGACCGCCGAACCTGGACGACTTTCGCACGCACATCCGCAACATGCTTAGCCACGACCAAGCCGGGTTTGTCTAATAGGGGGCCACATGCGAACCCTACCCCTACCCCCCACGACTTCTGAGGGGGAGTGTGGGTTTCACTTCGTTCGGGAGCTCCCAAACGAAGTGACCCCCCCCCTCAGAAATCGTGGGGGGTAGGGGTAGGGTTCGCATGCGGCCCCCTATCTAAGACCAGATCCTGGCACTCACGTCGCGTGCAGATGCCCATCGGCTGCCAGAGCCTCCAGAGCGACCTGACCTTGCAGCATGTTCTCCCGCCCGTGCCCCACGTGACCGCCCCCCGTGGACACACAGGACTGACCGGGATCCGACCTCCAAGGGATTCCTAAGGATTCGCGAGGACTCTTCCGAAGGATTCTCAAGGATTCCCAAGGAATCCTACGGATTCTGAAAGATTCCTCTGAATCCCTATGGACTTCTACGGATTCTGGCGGATTGCTGAAGCCCCGGTCTGGGTGCTGGTCCGTGAGCTATCCCAAGGATTTCTGAGATTCCGATGGATCCCTAAAATTTCCTAAGGCGGCCCTGGTCTAGGTGCTGGTCCGTGAGCCCTCCTGTGGATTCCAAAGGATTCCGAAGGATTCCACAGGATTTCAAGTTATCTTTCGAATTCCGAAAGGTTTCCCTAGATTCCTTAGGACTCCAACTAAGGATTCCAAACCGCTTGGGCTTAAACCAGATGGCGGTCGATCCACTGCGAATTGCTCGCGGAATTAAACGCAGCCTCCCCCAAAGGTCTGAAAGCGCTCACCACCGTAACTCCTCACCAAGCGGTCTTGGACGGGTCCGGAGAAGACTACAGCTTGCGGCGTGGGACTGCTCGGGTGCACTGCGGTGGCTCCTGGGAGCGTCCGAAATCACTCAGAGCCAGAGCAGGTAGCCATGTAGGTGGGACCAGCGCTGGTGCGAATCGTTGTGTTTCGCCGGCTATGACTCATAACAAGCCCGGGAGCAGGCCAGAAAGCTCCCAGGGAAGTTCTGGAAAGATTTGAGGGCCTCCTGCGAGGGCCGTGGAGTGCACTGGCCGAGCTAGAGAAAGCTCTATGGCGCGTGCCTGCCATCTGGGCGGCGGCCACGACTGGTCTTGGTGGGGTGTACCGAACCCTGGGTCGAGGGAAGGGAGTAAGAACCATGACCAAGACTGAACGCGGAAAACGTCGGTGCCAATCTTGGTCATCGTCCATCTTGGTCATCGTCAACTCCTGGATCATTCCCTCGAATCGGCGCTGGCCGGCATGGACCATTCCAAGATCGGCGTAGAGGCATCTGGGGCGGGAGGGCGTCTGGGGAGCGTAGGGGGTGGTCTTGAGCGGGCAGGCCTGTGCTGGATCGGATCGCTACATCGGATCGGATCGGAAACGGGTCGCATCGCCGGCGATTCGTCCCGAATCGAGTCGAGATCGGATCGCTGCACCTGGCTCCGAGCTGACCCCGGGTCGGTGGATCGAGCCCAGTCGGATCGGATCGAATCGAATCGAAATCGCGGCCCTGGCTGGCGAATCGAGTCGCATCGAATCGGATCGTAGGCGGCCCTGACGGGCCAAGAGATCGGTGAGTATCTCGTTTAACAGATCCCCATCCCCAGCGGCGTGGCCTGGGCCCAACTGGCCGATTTACCCCCCTAGATGGGGATATAGATCGTTCCCTTCGGGTTTCGAGGGGTGTATCCCCAACTGGGGGGTAATTTGGTGGGGGTCTCGAAGGGGATGGGGATGGGGATCGGATAAACAATACCGAATCAGTGGAGCTCGCATGGGAGCTGTTCGGGGCCGCTCGCGTGCGTGGGCAGCTCACGGCCTGCCCCCGAGCGCCCGACACAGCTCTGGCAATGGCTTGGCCAGAGCCATGGGAGGCCCGAGGGGCAACTTCCACGGCGGCCCTCCTCGCAGGAGTGGCCCGCTGACGGCGACGACAGTAATGATGATTGGAAGCTGGGCGAGGGCTGGCAAATCCGTGGCTGCTAAAAACGGTCTTCCCGGAAGAAAAAACAAATTCCCGGATTCAAGCTCAGCGCACTGAATACCAAACGGACTGCTTCCCAGAAGCAAAAGACAACTTCCCAGAGCACCGTTTTAGCAGCCACGGGTTTGCCAGCCTTGCCCTGGCTTCTGAAGGACTGCGGTGACGAGGCTATGACATCGGGCTCCATCGTCGCTGCGCACAGCTCGCCGAGCAGCGCCAAGACCCGCTGCCACTGCCAGCCTTTCTCGCACGCGCTGATCACGACGTTGTAGCTGACCGGTGCGAACCCGCGGGGGGGGAGTCCACGGCGTGCTGAATCTGGGGCTCGCACACCGTGGGTGGACAGCTGTAGGAGGCCACATGCGAACCCTACCCCTACCCCCCACGATTTCTGAGGGGGAGGGTGGGGTTCACTTCGTTCGGGAGCTCCCGAGCGAAGCGAACCCCATCCTCCCCCTCAGAAATCGTGGGGGGTAGGGGTAGGGTTCGCATCTGGCCTCCTACAGCTGGTCGAAATTGACCAGCTCGGGCATCTCTGAGGCCGTGTCGGGGGCACGGTGGGCCCTCCCGCGAGCCTGTCTGGGGCGTCTCGAGGGCCTCGTGCGGTCTCTGGGCGCCGCCGGGGCCGTTCCTGGGCTGTCCCCCAGGGCCCCTTTTGGAGGACAGCCCAGGAAGCTTGTCGTGCGTGCGTGCTGTGAGGTCGCTGTCAAGAGGTCACCCCTGTCACCCATGAGCTTGGCTGCAGGGTTTGCTGCAGGCTGGCTCTGGGAGCCGGGGCTGGAGGCTGTCTTCGAAGATCCTGGGGGGGTCTGAGCAGCCATCTCGGAGTTGTCCAGGGAGGGGTCTCGTGGTCTTGGGGCTGCCTTGGGGGCCATCGAGGGCTCTACTCGGCCGTAGGGGGGGAGCGAGATGCTGGTCCTTGCAGTGTCTGCAGGTCCCCCCCCCCCCTGTCACCACTACTAGGCCGTAGAGGGGGAGCGGCCGAAGTGGCTGCAAGTCCCCCCTGTCACCCCTGCAGGCGGAGTGGAGGCCCCAGAGCGGCCGGAGCCTCGATGACGGAGGGAGGAAAAGATCGGAGGAGAGGATCCCCCCTGCCACCCCTAGTCGGCCGCAGACGGGGAGGTCTTGAGGTCCTGGGATCCTGGAATCGCCGGTCCCGGGATCGCCCTTAGGAGCTCCGCGGGAACTGTCGGTGTCTCTTGGCAGGCGTCGGAATTTTGTGGGCGACTCTGGGGCATCTCGGAGTGATCCTGGGACCGCTCTTGGGAGCTCTGTGGGGACTATCGGAGTCTCTTGGGAGGCTCTGGGGCATCTCGGAGTGGTATGGGGCCTGCCTTGGGGGTCTGGGGCGTTCTTGGGGGCGTGTGGGGTTCGAGAGACGGCGAAAGGGTGCCGTGGCTGGAGGCACTCTGCCTGGGAGCTCCTTGGGAACCATCGGAGTCTCTTGAGAGACTCTGAGGCATCTGGGAGTGGTCCTTGGAGGGTTCTTGGCCCAAAGAGCGTCGTCTAGACTCCCTTCGGCCCCGCTTGGAGCCCTCGTGGGGGTCTCTACAGAGCCTCTAGGGGCCCTCTTGGCCCATTTCGGGGCTTTCTTAGGCCGGGCCGTCCTGGGGCCATTTAGGGGGTCTAGGGCCGTCTTGGAGCTCACTCTGGTGCCTGTTGGGCAACTTCCAGGACCCTCTTGGGGCTGTCTTGGGGGCTATGGGGGCTCTATGAAACTGTCTTGGGCTTCTCCTGGGCAGTCTTCGAACCCTCTCCTGGACCGTCTTGGGGCGATCTAGGATGGCCCTGAAGCCGTCTGGAAATCTGCAAAAACCCGCAGAAAATCAACGGTTTTAGCCTCGGGGGACCGTCATTGGGGTCCGGCTGGGCCGTCTTCGGAGGTACCTGGCCCGTCGTCGGGCCGCCCTTGGCTGTCATGGAGCTCCGTTCGGGCCATCTTGGGACGTCCTCGCACCCTCCGGAGCGGATCGGAACGATATTCGGGCTGAGGAGGACGAGGACGAGGAGGACGAGGAGGAGGAGGAGGAGGAGGACGAGGAGGAGGAGGGGGAGGAGGGGGAGGCCTCGCACCCTCCGGAGCGGATCGGAACGAGATTCGGGCTGCCTGAGGCCGTCTTGGAGCCACCCAGGGGCTCTCAGGAGCCGTCGGGGAGCGGCGGGGCGCTCTGGGCGGTCGGGGGCAGCGGGCGCACTGCCGGCGCATCTCGCACGCACGACGACCAGAATTCGAGTAGGAGATCGACTACAGAATTGATTTACCCCTGAATTGATTTTCCCCTGAATCTGCGAGAGAATCGTAGGATGCTCCGTAGATCTACTGAGCATTGTATGTCGTTTTAGTAGTTCCGATGAAGACATCAATTTCGGGGTAAATCAATTCTGTAGTTAGTCGATCCACTAAAGAATTGCTGTACAGATGACAGTGGGTTCCACCTTCGCCGACCTCATCTCGCTATGCAGCGACAGAGCGTGCTGCCACTGGTCACACGCGCACACGCTAATTCCAGCGCTGTAGCTTATGATGTCGGGCACCAACTTCGCCTCCCGCATTTCGCTGAGCATCAACAGAGCCTGTTGCCACTGCTTTCCTTTCTCGCACGCGCTGATCCCAGCGTTGTAGCTGACTAGTGCGAACCCGTAGATCAAAGCCACGGTGTGCTGAACTGCTGCTGCTGCTGCTTACAACTTCAGTTTGAGGAGCTTGCTGCTGCTTGCTGCTGCTTGCTTTTGCTGATTGCTGGTCCTGCTTACTGCCGCTTGATGCCGCTTGATGCCGATGGCTGCTGCCGGCTGCCGTCGTGGCGCCCCTGGGAGCCCTCCCGGGGCCAGCTGGGGTCGCCTTGGCGTCCTCAGGAGGCCGTCCTGGCACATGTTTGGGCTTTCCTGGCTTGTCGGGACCTCTGCCTTTCTGCATTGCATGAGCGCCCCTGCATTTTTCGCGTGAGTCCGCATGCACGTTGCTGTTTCTGCAAACCATTGTCCCCATCCAATCCACAAATTTGCTACGCCGCATAGCCTTTCGCCTGAGCGCCTCTGTTTGGCCTGCGAGGGCCCTCTCGGGACCGTGTTGTGGGCTGCCATTGGAACACCGCAGCAGTCGGGGGGGCCCTCCGTGGCTGGACCGAGCACTTTCGGCGAGCCGAGGCCACTGCAAGCAGCAGGCTCGCTATACTCTGCCTACTACCGGGGGGCGGTTGGCGGCCTCTCTTGGGCCATCTGCTCCCGGGGCTCCGTTCGAGGGCCACCTGGCTGGGGTCTTCTGGGGCCGCCTCCGGATGCTCCGGAGACCTTCTGAGCCTGCCTTCGGGGCGTCTTCCAGGCACCTCTCCAAGGCCTCTGGAGCCTCTGGGGCCCAGTCGGGACAGGAGGCTCGGAGACGTGAAGAACATGGAGACCCATCGGGGCATCTTCGCGGCCTCTTGGGAGCCTTTTCGGTGCCTCGTGGGAGCGTGTTTGGGAGGGATCTGTTTGGGAAATGCTGGGGCCTCGGTGGATTGCGGGGCTGCGCTCGAGGCCGCCTCAGAGCCATCTTAGGCTGGGTTGGGGCCTGTTTTGGGCCGTTCTCGGGCTCACCTTGGGGAGGGGGCAGGGGCCGAAAGCCAACACTGTCTTTTCTGGCATGCGCACGGCCCCGAATTGTATCACAGACTGGGACTGACCCGTGAACCATCGTCCACGGAAGCTTGAATACTCGCACGCGTAGGTTAGGATCGCTTGCCTGCGTGACTACTTGCCTGCTGTCCTGTTTGCGTGGTTGCTAGCATGGTAGCCAGACAGCCAGTGGCCTGCTCGCATGCTCTCTGACTTGATTGCTTCGTTGCGTATTCCTCCGCTCGCTGCCGCTTGCTAATGGCTGTTGATTCCCAACCATCCTGTGGTGTCGGGTCCTCGTTTTGAAAAGAGAGCGCCCCGCGTTCACTCCTCTCGCTGCACCCCCCCCCCTCCTCCCTCCCTCCTCCCTAGCGCCCAGTGCAGCACTTCGTGGCCCCATGGGGAGTTCCACCGAAGGCCCCAGTGGCAGGGTTCGCATGGCGGCCCCGCCCCAAGGCCCCAGTGGCAGGGTTCGCATGGCGGCCCCACCCCATTTCGGCGCACCCCTCACACGTTTTGTGGCCTCATAGGGAGCTCCACCATAGGCCCCAGTGGCAGGGTTCGCATGGCGGTCCCGCCCCATTTCGGCGCACCCCTCATACGTTTTGTGGCCTCATAGGGAGCTCCACCATAGGCCCCAGTGGCAGGGTTTGCATGGCGGCCCCACCCCATTTCGGTGCACCCCTCACACGCTTTGTGGCCCGTAGGGAGCTCCACCATAGGCCCCAGTGGCAGGGTTCGCATGGCGGCCCCGCTCCATTTCGGCGCACCCCTCACACGAATCGTGGCCCCATAGGGAGCTCCACCGAAGGCCCCAGTGGCAGGGTTCGCATGGCGGCCCCGCCCCATTTCGGCACACCCATCACACGCTTCGTGGCCCCACGGGGAGCTCTATCATAGGCCCCAGTGGCAGGGTTCGTATGGCGGCCCCGCCCCATTTCGGCGCACCCCTTACACGCTTCGTCGCTCCATAGGGAGCTCCTCCGAAGGCCCCAGTGGCAGGGCTCGTATGGCGGCCCCGCCCCAGTCTGGCACACCAATCACACGCTTCGTCGCTCCAAAAGGAGCTCCACCGCCCGCCCCATTTGGACACATCCCTCACACGTTTCGCGTCCCCACAGGGAGCTCCACCGAAAGCTGTATTCATGATTCGGTACCCCCAATTGCAGATGGTTGGGCCTTTCGCCAGGAACAGTTTCATGTGCGTTGCTACTAGATGGTGTTTCAGATGCTTCTCACTCTGACTGAGTGGTCTTTCCTGTTGCCTGCTGCTGCTTGCTCAGGCTGGGTGATGATGCGTGCTGCGAATTAGTGGTGGTTGGAACTACGTGCCTGTTGCTAGGTGCTGCTGCTTGATGTTGCTGCAGGATGATGCTGCGTATTGCTGCAGGATGATGCTGCGTGTTAGCTCTGCTTGCTGCGTGATGCTGCAGGTTACGGCTGCCAGTGGTAATCCCACCAGCCCTCTGGGCGTATGTGGTCTAGGGCGGCTCCTCTTCCAACGCCCTTCTTCCCCTTCGGGGAGGGGTCCATCACTTTCCCTTATTAACATACACCCCCTCCCCCAGGCGACCGGGGACCAACCAGGCACCATGCCGACACCATGACCATCCGCCCCCCACCATCCCTGTCAAATGATCCTGGCGAAAGACCCAACCATTCGCAAATGTGATAACCGCAGGACAGGTAGGACGAAGCAACGGGAATTCCCAATGAGACCACGAACCGTGTGAGGGGTGCGCCAAAATGGGGCGGGGCCGCCATGTGAACCCTGCCACTGGGGCCCTCGGTGGAACCCCCTATGGGGCCACGAACCGTGTGAGAGGTGCGCCAAACTGTGGCGGGGCCGCCATGCGAGCCCTGCCACTGGGGCCTTCGGTGGAGCTCCATATGGGGCCACGAACCGCGTGAGGGGTGCGCCAGAATGCTGGGCCGCCATGCGAACCCTGCCACTGGAGCCTTCGGTGCAGGTCCATATGGGGCCACGAAGCGTGTGAGGGGTGCACCAGAATGAGGCGGGGCCGCCATGCGAACCCTGCCACTGGCGCCTTCGGTGGAATGCATCAAGAAGGAGGGGCCGCCATGCGAACCCTGCCACTGGGGCCTTCGGTGGAGCTCGCTGTGGGGCCACGAACCGTGTGAGGGGTGCGCCAAAATGCCAGGCCGCCATGCGAACACTGCCTCTGGGGCCTTCGGTGGAGCTCCCTATGGGGCCACGGTGTGAAGGATGCGCCAAAACGCGGGGCCGCCATGCGAACCCTGCCACTGGCGCCTTCTTTTGAGCTCCCCATGGGGCCACGAAACGCTGTACTGGGTGAGTGAAACGCAGAGAGGAGGGAGGAGGGGGAGGAGGAGAACGCGGGGCACTCTCTCTTCAAAACGACGACCCAACACCACAGGATGGTTGGGAAAAAAAACCATACAAACCACACTCTGCCTCCACATTTGGAGCATGCGCGGCCAACCCAATGTGGCCCCCCCCGCCATCCCTGTCAAAATACCCTGCCACTGGGGATACCGCATTATGAATACAGCTTTCGGTGGAGCTCCCTGTGGGGCCACGGGACGCGTGAGGGGTGTGTCAAAACGGGGCGGGGCCGCCATGCGAACCCTGCCACTGGGGCCTTCGGTGGAGCTCCCCATTGGGCCACGAAACGTGTAAGAGGTGCGCCGAAATGGAGCGGGGCCGCCATGCGAACCCTGCCACTGGGGCATTCGGTGGAGCTCCCTATGGCGGGGCCGCCATGCGAACCCTGCCACTGGGGCCTTCGGTGGAGCCCCCTATGGGGCCATGCGCCAAACTGGGGCGGGGCCGCCATGCGAACCCTGCCACTGGGGCCTTCGGTGGAGCTCCATATGGGGCCACGAACCGCGTGAGGGGTGTCGAAATTGGGCGGGGCCTCCGTGCGAACCCTGCCACTGGTGCATCTGGTGGAGCTCCCTCTGGGGCCTTTCAAAAAAAGGGATACACCTTGACCAGAAAACTACACACACCAACTTCACAAATTTCAGTTGGATGCAAGATGTTGGCGGCATTGATACACCAGAGGATATTGCAAGATGGATCCGAAACACGCATGCGTGACTCTCAATACGGACTTCGCCCAGAATGTGGAACAGCAAACGCCCTAATGCTTGTGAGACGCATGATAGATGCTGCACATTCAAATGTGGATGGAGGGCTATTGGTACTGATGCTGGACTGGGCCAAAGCGATCGACAGAGTAAAGCCGGACTCAATGTGCAAAGCTTTGGAAAAATTTGGGATTCCTGCCGAGATAGTGGAGATGGTGCGCTCTATTTGCTCGGCCCGCTTCTTCGTTATCCAAGACCACACTGGCTCCTCTACCGAGAGACGGCAGAAGGCTGGAAACGCACAGGGGTGCCCGCTTCCTCCACACTGAATCATACAATCCAGACTGTCACCGATGCAACCTCCAGTACATGTTGACAGCTATCGTTGAGGAGAGGCGCAATTATGGTTTCGAGCTAAACTGGGGAAAAACAGTACAGATGCAAATCGCTACAAGTCAAAAGGTTACGACACCGAGCTGTGGTGATATACTGTCCAGGACGATGTATGTTTGAGAGATCTGCTTACATGTGACGGGAGGGCGTCTGCGAAGCTATGCAGAAGATTGGGAGATGCAAGCAAGCTGTTCAGTCAATTTTGCAAACTTTGGTCGCACGCATCCCTTGGCTGGAGACGAAAACACAAGATCTACGACAACGTTGTTCTGAACAGATTATTATATGATTTGGATGTTTTGTGGTTGTTGACAGCAGACAGATGCCGGCTTGATGCTTTTCATTGCCGATGTTGGCGACGCATTATTGGAATTCCAGACTCTTTCATATTACGGGTCAGCAACGCAAGCGTTCTCGACCAGGCTGGGACGAAACCGCTATCGCAAGTTTTGGCTAGTAGACAAATCGAGTTGTACGAGAAAATTGTTGCACATGGGCCCACTGCTTTGGTAAATCAAATTGTCTGCAATGGCGATGGGTCGCCGAAGATATGGGCCTGCAAGCG